GGTAGTCAGGCAGCCGGTACCCGGGGCCGTGGTAGCCAGGCACATAGCCGGGAGTGTCGTAGCCGGGGACATAGCCGGGCTCGTAGCCCGGCACCGGCCGACTGAGCATGTGCGAGAACTCCCGGGCGGCGGAGCGCAGGGCCGACTGCAGGTTGTAGCGCATCCAGGTGCCCGGCTCAAAGAAGCCGCCGATGTCTGAGGGCAGACGCAGTGAGGTCAGGGCGCCCGCTCCTCATTCCCAAATTCTGAGGATTTATACACACGCACACCCCAAGACGCGATTCCATTCCTGCCACCACCACAGCCCTTCATTTACTTCTGAGTCCCCCTGAGCCCTTCTGTCACAGACAGAATCTTGCAGCCATGTCACCTAAGCCAACCCCTCCCTTTTACCAGTGGGGATTAGGGATGTAGTGACTTGCCTAAGGACACACAGTAAATGGAGAGCCAAGGTCAGAAGTGCGATATCCTGACCCCATTCAGCACACTTGCTACTGCTCACACTTCCGAGCCTAGACCACAGGTCTTCCTTTGGTCCCTAAGTCCCTGGTTCTCTAGAGTGCCAGACTCCTCCCACCAGTAACCCACCTGCCCACGCATCCCGCTAGGCCAGCCTTAGGGAGGATGCAGTCTGGGTGTATGTGCAGAATCTTGTTATGGTGACAGTCAAGGCTTGCCTTAACCAAGACCCAGGTTGTAGACATGTTTTAGGAGTGCAGCAACCGCCAACCAGGAAACGGCATAGAAGGGCATCGTGCAGCCTAAGGTCTGTACGCACGCGCAGGGGGCAACCTGTTACCTTGGTGATGACGGGACGACAGGGCAGTTATCTTGATGCCTTTGAGTTCTTCTAGCACCAGCTAGCTGTACCATGGCTTCCTCATCCTACTTAATGCCTTTGGAGTCACCCAGCATCTTCCGCTCAGAGCTCAGAGCTCAGAGCTCAGGAACCCAGGGGCGACTCTCATTTTCCCTAAAGCTGACTTCACACCCTCTTTCTTACCCTGCCCTCCCCATATCCCATGGCTCTCTGCCCCTCCACAACCTGCAGCACTGACCGTGGTTGCAGTATGGCCCGTCGAAAGCCGTGAGATCACAGTCACATGTGTAGTAGCTGTAGCGCTCCACGCAGCGGCCTCCATGGAAGCAGGGGAACCGGGGGTGGGCGCAGTGGCCCGTGCAGTTGGGTGAGGTGCCCTCAGAGGCATTGGCACGGCCCTCCAGGTTCAGAGTCACCCCATTCAGACGCATGGCCCTCAAGCAACCCACAAAGGGGCGCCTCTTAAGCTCCGCAGATCCTGGGAAGGGTAGGCAGATCAGAAAATAGATGTGGTGCCAGAGACAAAGGTAAGTACTGTGGCCGGGGAGGGAGCCCAGGGGACTAGGAGATGGAGTAGCATATCAGGGGCATATCGGGAAAGGTGGGGCCGAGGACAGCAGGTTCCTGGAAACAGAGAGAGTGACCGGGAGAGGTGGGAGATGAAGGAGGTTTCAGACCTGCCTCTGGGTGGCCGCTCACCAACGAAGAGGGGCTGGTCGTACTCCAGCCAGATGTAGGTCTGCAGGGGCATAGGCCGCAGCACCCAGGGCCGGTGGTCCACTCGGAGCCGGGCCTGCTTCACGTTGATTTCAGCTCGGACCAGGTGCCACTCGTCATCGTTGAACTCAAAGTCATCTGAGTGGACTGTCAGATTCTCATCCCCATTCCCCACATCGAAGGCAAAAACCACATCCCTGGATGCTGGACAGTGTGATAGGAGGTGCGGGGAGAAAAAGACTCAGACCTCCAAGAGCCTTCGCAGATTCCCTGCCCTCTATGACCACTCTTCCTCACCTCTCGGGAGCTCCTTGAATAAATATCCTTCTAATTTGTCCACACCCTGGGACTCTTAGTCTCTCCCTGAACCTCAGGTTCCTGGAGCAGTTTCTCAGTCCCACCCCTGGCCAGAGCTTAGCTAGTCAGACAGGGAGAGACCTCAGGGGTCCAGGCTCCTATTGGGAGCAAGAGACCTAGGGCTTAGAAAGGTCAGGTGTGTGCCCCAGGTCACGTGGCTAGCCACCAAGACAGAGTGAGGTCTAGAGTACAGCGTTCCCTACGTCCCCTTCCATACTGCCTCTCCAACGCACTTCTGCCCTGGTCTCTTACCCCAGCCTTCACCTACCCCACATGTCCCCAGAGATCTACTCCATCCACCCGGGTCCCTCCCAGAGTTCGCCTGCTCACTGTTGAGTTCCACCCGCACGTAAGGTCGGCGCCACTGGCAGTAGGGGCCCCCCATATTCTCTAGGAAGACCCCCGAGGGAGCCGAGGTCCTGAAGTAGAAGGAGACGTCAAGGCTGTGGTTGGCGCGGATTGGCGGAAAGCGTAGTGTGGTCCCAGTGTGGAAGGAGATGGTGTTCCAGGAATTTCCTACAAAACCAGAGTAAGGAGAGCTTGTTAGTGAGGTTGGAGGGTGGAGGAGTAAAGGAGCCTCTGAGGGGACAGGGAATGTAGAGTGGAGGGGGAGAGTTAGGGGAAACCAAAGAGGGGGAACAGGAAAGGAGCAAGGAGCGTGTGAAGATGAAGGTCACATCACAGCCAGAGCTGGGCTCTGGCAATGTGTCCTAGAGACTGCCGGTGGGTCAGGTGGCCTGACTTTTGGAAACTGGAGAGCCATCCTGGGGAGGGTATGCAAAAAGGGTCTGCCACTCACGATCGCCATAGCAGCGCAGAGGCCTCAGGAAGAACTGGGCCTCCGAAGTGGAGCGGTTCGTATCCCCCACCACCACCTGAGTGACAGGCAGATGGTCCACAAAGGTGAGCAGTCCCTTGTCGGTTCTCCTGCAGGCCAGGATGCAGTGGCTCAGCCCCTCTGCCAAGCCTCCCTTGCATCCTGAAACCCATGTCCCTCTGGCCCGCTCACCACTGGGGCTGGTCGGCATCGCAGTTGCAGTGCAGGGCGGGGTCCACACAGCTGCGGTCCAGGCCACAGGCACAGCGCTGGATCCCGGGCTGCGAGCCTCCCCAGTAGAAGTGTTGCTCCTCATTTCGGCCGATCCAAAAGCTGTAGGGGTAACCTCCTGGGAAAGAGATGCAGGCAGCTTCCAGGTCCTGCCTTCCATTAAATCCTCTAGGCCAGGGTCCAGCTGCGTCCTCTGGCTTCCTTCTTCCAAACCCCCACTGGCCACTCCTCCAACTCCTCCTCCTTGCCCTCTCTGGCCCCAGCCTAACCTGCAGTGTTGAGCAGCCGGGAATTGTAGCAAGAGAACTCAATCCATTGTTCGCAATGCTGGGAGGCATTGGCCAGGGCACTGACTTCCTCCCACGATGCATTCCAGTACTGGACAGCCCCCAGGAATGGCCGTTCCATGCTGGAACCTGTCACCCGAGTTGTCCACAGCCTGTCGTGCCGTACCACTGTCCATGCTCGGTTCTCTAGGGGAGGGGCAGGGACGGAGTTTTGACTGGAGATGGGCATTCTCTACCCATCTTCCTCCCACCTCCACCACCATTGCTGTAACTCAGAGCCAATATACATGGCCAGCTCTGGGTCCTTGCATTGTAGGCTGGAGGTGAGACAACTAGGATGGATGGGAAGCTGGAATTTATCTACAAGGCTAGGTTACAGATTCCTAAGTGTCCCCCCACACACACACCTCCATCACAGTTTACTCTTACTGGTCCCCACCCGCCATACAATCTCTCTCTGTTTTGCCTTGTCAGCTGCCCACAGCCCCCACCATTAGAGCCACTTACCTCGGATATCACAGTACACTACAAAGGGCTTCAGGGGGCCACTGCCATCAGGATCAATGGTGAAGTTTCCAGACATTTTCCCACTGAGCCGATAAGCTTCACAGGATTCCTTATACAAAGCTGGTAGGAGGTAGGGTGGGGAAGAGGCGGTTACAGGGTCAAAGGGCTAGAAGACACAAGCCCACCATCTCCAGCAACTTCATGATCCCAGCAACCTTCTCCTGACCAACCCTATCCCTCACTCTCTCCGAGGTCCCATCTGGCTTACGTTGGTGACAGGTCTCCCCTTTATAGCCTGTCAGTTCACAGTAGCAGATGAAGTCATCCCAAGACTGGTAGCAGCGTCCATCATGCTCACACATGTTAGGGCTGCACCTAAGGAAGAAGTTGGCACAAGGGAGAGGGCCTTACTGGGAGCTTGAGAGTGGGGTCTGACCCCCATGAGCTTTACTCACAGCTCCTTGGAGCACCAAAACCCAGGAAGACACATCCTGCCTAACTAGCCCGTTACGGAGCCCAGATAAAGGGGCTTGAGACTCTAGAAGTACTATCCTTTCTTCCCTAAAAGAGAAAAAAATGCCTTATTGTGCCCCCCATTAAAAAGGGGGGGCAGTAGGTGGTTCATGGTGGTTGAGGCTCTGGGCTCCTACATGGCCAACTGCAGTTCCTAGACCTGGAAGCTTGCTTTCTCACGTTCTCTCTCTCTCTCTCCTCTCTTTCTCTCTCTCTCTCTCTCTCTCTCTCCCTCTCCCCATCTCTCTCTGGTCACATTAAAAATAAATGAATAGGGCCAGCAGGTGGTGTAGTGGTTAAGGTGCTGGACTCCCACATGGCCAACCCCAGTTCAAGTCCCAGACCTGGTGCCTTGTTTTCTCACTTTCTCATTTTCTTTCTCTCTCTGTCTCTCTGGTGAGCACGTATGCCCTATAGAAAAAATGTTTTGGGACCAGCAGTTAGCGTAATGGCTATGCCGCTGGACTCCCACGTAATCAACCACGGTTTGCATCCTAGACCCGGTGGCTTAAAACTCACGCCAGGCACGTGTGCGTGTGTGCCCAAGATCCCAAGACGAGAATAGAGGAGAAGGGACTGCGGCGTGGTCATCCGCCCTGGGGTGTGATTTCTCGCTTTCTGTCTCTCTGTCTCTCTCTGTCCATCTGGCGAGCACATGCGCCCTATACCAAAACCTCTCAAAAAAAAAAGTTTTAAATAATAATAAATGAAATTAAATAAATAATTCAAATAAGTAAGTAAATAAAATTGGATGGATAATTCTTTAAAAACAAAACAAAACAAAAACCTCGAAGACCAAAAGTGGATGCTTTGGGGCTGGCAGATGGCATGGTGGTTAAAGGCGCTGAGCTTCACATGGTCAACCGTGGTTTGAGTCCTAGACCTGGCAGACTGCTTTCTCACTTTCCTGCTTTCTTTCTCTCTGTCTCTATCTGGTCAAATTAAAAGAATAACAATAAAAAAAAAAAAAGCGAATGCCTCATTTTCATACTGATCATGTGTCCCTTTAAGGAAGAACTAGGAGATGAGAGGTTAAGTGAGGGACTAAAAATCTGAGACAAGGTATCAACATGGTGGTTAAGGCACTGGACTCCCACATGGTCAACTGCAGTTCAAGTCCTGGACCTGGCAGCTTGCTTTCTTACTTTCCCTTTCTCTCTCTCTGGTCAAATTTAAAAAATAATATTAAATTAATTAAATTAATAATTCTTTTGAAAATGCTGAGACAAGGACAGAGATCATTGAGATAGGCCGCTCCCACTGGGCAACTATAGAAGTTTTTGTAGGGTCTCTTCTTGTTAGGGAGAGGGGCTTGTGAATACCTATCAGTGATGCCACATGTGTCAAATAGGACCTCCGCATAGTGTCCAAGCCGCCGGAATTCCACCAGAGTCAGGTTGACCAGTTGACCATCCACCTTGAGAAGCTCCATACAGCCATGGAATGCAGTTTGGTTGGAGTGGCAGCCCCATCGACTGGCTGGCTTGGGACAACCTGGAGCAACCATCCCTGTGAGACCCTTCCCAGGGGAGACTCCAGAAACCCTCCCCTAGGGAGATGCCAAGGGATAACCAGATATAAAGGAAAAAAGGAGTCTAGAACCAAAGTGTAGGCCACAGCAGTGACCTTTAACTAACCCAAGACCCCAAAGGGGAAAAGAGGACTTGATCCCTACAAAACATTCCTATGGCTCCCTCTGGGTGGACTAATATGGGGCCTTCCCACCCAGCTACAGGGGTCTGGCCAGGTTGGCCTCACTTACCCCCAAAGAAATATGAAGTCCCTGTACGGATCAGCAGTGGGTAGGAGACTCTGACCTCTGCTCCCTCCACATCGTCAATGCTGATGACTGCATGGTTTTCCTGTGCCACAAAATTCACCTCATGCCAAAAGCCGTCATTCAGGCGGAACCCTGGGCAAGAAAGGAGGAGGGTGCTGGGGAAGCAGTAACTAGGAGAGAAATGTCTTGAGTAGGGAAGCAGCAACCCCTCTCTGTGTCCCAATAGCAGCTTTTCTTTTCTTTTTTTTTTTTTTGGAGAGGTTTTTCCCATAGGGCTAGTTCACTCAGCCAGAAAGACAAAGAGACGCTCACTGGAGAGACAGAGAGATAGAAAGAGATAAATCACCTCCAAGGGAGGATGGCGACAGTGCAACCCCTTCTCCTCCATTGTCTTCTCGGGATCAGGGACACACACGCACATGCCCCCAGCATGAATTTAAGCCACCACGCAGGACGCAAACCACAGTCAACTACATGACAGTCCAGTGACATAGACATTACGCCAACTGCTGGTCCCCCCAATAGCAGCTTTTTTTTTTAAGAGAATTCTGCCATAGGGTGCATGGGCTCACTAGAGAGAGGGAAAGTGAGAAATCACGGGAAAGGGGGGATGGGGGTGTGTGACCGAGTGGCAATCCTTTCTCAGTTCTCCTCCTGGGATCATGGACAAGCACGCACATGCACCTGACATGATTTTCAATCCACCAGATCCAGGACTGGAACCGAGTTTGGCCATATGGGAGTCCAGCGACATAACCACTATGCCATCTGCTGGTTCCAGCCCATGGCAGCTTCTGATATCCACATTTTTACACTTCTTACACCGAGTGGTGACATCTCTGAAAGTCTGTCTCCACCCATAATCCCAGCAACAGATACAGAGTCTGCAAAATCATAAATGAGTAACAGACATCTCTAGGGGTTCCTAGGCTGAGAATACCAGGGCTCCTTAGCCATGAGGCTTCTCCCAGAACCTTCAGCCCACCAGATCTGCTCCTCTGCTGCTTCCAGAAACTCCCAACTGTTCCCAGTACACCGGGACCTCCTGCCCTCCTCCCTTCCCTTTCTCTCTCCTCTCCAGCGCAAAGACCTCAGTTCAGGCCCCCCTTCTTTAGTGTGCTGTGCCTTCCCTCCACCCCCTCACCAGCAGCAAACTGAAGCTTCTTGCGGCCGGTCTGCGCGATGGACACGTTGACCTGCCCTTCACTAAGCATCAGCTCCACGTGGCCCAGCCCGTCCCCCAGGCGAGAGAAAAGTAGCAGCCCGGTGAGGTCCCATGTGCGGAAGCGAAAGGAGACCGCGAGGCGGCCTCGGCGCGGGAAACCAGGCACTTGCACGAAGTTGTGAGGGCCTCCGAAGTTGATGGGGTGCGGAATCGGGTCCAGGCAACGGAATGCCACTTTACCCTAAGGGCAAAAGTGGAGACGCCTCAGCACCCCCACGCCCGTGCACCCACCCCTGCTGGAGATTCAGTTTTCCCAGTGATCTAAGAACCTGGACCCAGCACTTCCTCGGTATGGGAGGGGCTGAAATTCCCCCAACCATGATCCTTCTTAACTCCCCCCCACAAAAAACAGGTCCATCTGTTGTGGGGGTGTGGGGAGGGGGGAGCCAGGAGACAATCAAGCCGGCCCTCGGAACTCTCCGCTAGCTGGCTATAGCTGACCTACACTTTGTCCAGGGCGTTGGCTCTTGCAATGTGTAAAGAGGTCTGGCCTCCGCTGCAGGTATTAGCATTAGAGTTTATCAAAAGAGCCCTGGGGTTAAACCCCTAGTCAGCCGGGCTACGCAACGGTAAGACACCTGGTCAGAGGACTCCCTCTCTCTGCGCCCTATTTTCCTACGGATCAGATCGACCGCAGCTTCTTAACTAGGGGGTGCGTGGCTCTTGCACTTCCTGTGAATCCCTGCTCTCCCAGCTGGAGAGTCTGGGAGGGAGGGATCCTCTGTTTTTATCTAATTCTCAAGATCTCTTTCCGCGCCACCTCTTCGCTTTCCAATTGTTTTTTGCGTCCCTTCCTTGCAGAGCCCCTTGCCCACTGGCCTCGAAGGTGATCCGCGAATGGCGCCGCACGGCCAGGTCCGCGATGTTGACCCGGTTGAAGATGACGTTTTCTATACAGCCACGGAAGTTATGCCGATACCCAAGGTTCTTATGCGCGGCACCGACCAGACCGCCGATGAATATCTGCGGAAGACATGGGGAATAAGGTCCCCAGGGCACAGGAGTGCGCCGACTATACACTCTCCCAAGCTCAAGGCCCGGCTTTCTAAGACTTGACACACGCACTTCCCTCGTGTCAGAACCAAAGCAAGGCTTGGATTGGAGCTTTGACTTCACCACAGATTAGCTGCATGCCCACCAGGTCCAGTCCATTAAGCTGTCAGGGATGCTTTATCTGCAGATCCTGGCCAGGGTCTTTAACAACTCCACAGAGTTGCAGGAGCATCCAAGGGGACAATTTTTCTATTTTGCCTGATCCCCACAATCTGTATTTCAGCCCTCACCATTAGTTCTCAGTGGCACCCAGGAGTGCGCACGCTGACAAAACCTTCCTGGAAGCGCAAGACTGCCAAGAGCTGCTACGATATTCAGGAGCTGGAAAGTGAGGTCTTACCTCTGCCAGACAGAAGTATTATCTCACACCCACTCGTCCAGCACCCTACCCAAATGCCCCTCACTCGCCTCATTGTCCAGGTTCAGCCTCTCGAAGTCGCCATTGAGTATGAAGCGCTGCACGTAGCCATCCAGGGTGAGATTTGCGTCTCGGCCATATCGGTCCACCCGTACATGGTGCCAGTGCTGGTCGTTGAGGACGCCACCTGCAGTCACCGTGGTGTGACCAGGCCTTGGCTGGATGGGGCTGCTACCTGAGGATGGGATGGGACAGAGTGAGACCTCTGTTGGGGAGAAGACCAGGGAGCCCAAGCCCCCAAGGAGAGCAGCAGAGGAAGGGCTGCACAGGGCTCCGGGCAGCCAGGGAGGCTGGGCTGGGTGGGTAGAACAAAGGCCCAGAGCTTAGATGGAGCAGTCACCAGTGGGCAGTGTGTTTTGGGGTAATTTACTCTGGGACACTATTTCCTATCTGTAAAACTCAGACCAGAATAGCTGCTTCTGTTCTTTTTTTTAATAATTATTTTATTTAACTTTATTATTATTTAATTTGATGAAAGAAAAACAGAGAAGGAAAGAGAGAAGGCAACCCACCAGGTCCAGGACTACATGGCCATGTGGGAATCCATCACCGCTAACCACCACGCCACCTGCTGGCCCCACTATTTCTGTTTCTTAATGGGAGTATTATGAAAAGTTGAGATACAGAATAACCCCATGTGTGTGTTCACAATGAGGGAACCGAGGCTCAGGGAAAGGCCTTGTCAAGGTCACTCCTGAACATGCTGGTAAGGGGTAGATCTGAGGCTGGACTCCCAGTCTGGTGTTTTCCTAGCACCAAATGCTACAGGAAAAGGGCGCTTTGGTCCAGTGAAGAGCGGAAGATGAGGAGGCATGGGCACAGCTAGGAGAGCAGAGGAAGTGCCAGGAAGGGCATGACAGGAGATCTGTGGGAGTTGGTCCGGATTGCACCTGGGTAGGGAGCTCACCCAGGCTCATGTGCAGCAGCAGGTGCGCCCCCTGCAGCTCAAGCGTCACGTAGTCACCCTGGGCACCCTCAGTGTGCAGCAGGAGCCCATCCTTCTCCTCCGTCTTGAAGCTGAAGGCGAACACGTCCCACAGGCTTTGGCTGACCCCGCGCGGGAAGCGGTAAGAGATGGCATCATCCCCGTCGAAATAGAGTACATCGGACTCTGCCAGAAAAACTGTAGGTGGGTGGGGGAGTGGCCGGACTGCCTGCTCCAGCCCCCTCCTCCTGCCACCTCCCCATCCTACTGTAAGGGCAGCCATAGAGGCCGAGCCTCAGGCCAATCTTGCCACGTGGGTTCCAGGCCAGGGGCACGATGCGGATGTAGCGCGCTGTGAAGTGGTAGTGTAGGTCATGGCGCACCACCGCCGACTCGTTCACGTTCCCGAAGAAGGTCTGTGGGGTGGGAGAGAGTAGTAACCATGTCCCCACCCTCTGCTCCGCTTCTCCACAGTCTCACAGCCTACAGCTTCCACACCCAGCCGGTCTCTTGACTTCTGGAAAGAAAATGCCCCCTGATCTACCGGCCTTCCTGACTTGGCCAGTTTTCCTAGTCTAGAATGTCCTCTCTCCCATCCTATTATTCCTCTATGCTCAAGTCAAATGTCTCCTCCCTTAGGAAGCTCACCCAGATTTTACCCGAGAGTGCATTAACCCCTGTGACCTGATAGTGTCTTGCATACATGGTGAAGTGACAGTCCTGGACTGAGTCCCCAGAGTGGAGCCACTGCTCCTCATCTGTGCCCTTACGACCACCCCCTCCCTTTCCCCTGGCTCATGCGCAACCCAGAGCCTGAGCAGAGAGGCTCCCCAAGTGTGCGCTTGGCGCCCGGAGTACCGCGTTGTGCCCTCGCTGGTAGAACGGCGTCCAGCTGTCCACACGGTCACCATAGAGCAGCATGTAACGTGTGACCCAGTCCCAAGAATTAAAAGAGCCCTGCGTGGCCACTGCCCGGATCCGGTGCTTCTTCATTAAGTCTATCTGGAGCCAGGGATTTGGGTCCCCAATTCGGGGTGACCATCCACTTATGCCTATGAAAGGGGCAAGAGCTTTACCATGGCTACCCCTCTTCCCTACCCCTGGGAGCCCCCCCACTCGGGGTACACAGCCTCCACTCACCATGCAACCTGGCAAAGCGGGGTGCTGTGAAGAGCCCGTAGTAAGAGGAGGCACCTAGCGAGCGTGCATACAGGGGTCCCACCAGCTCCTCGTCACAGCCGTCTGTGGTAGAGAAATGGCATGTTAGTCAGCATTGGCCCCTCCCAGGTCCTTCCAAAGTCAGGGCCCACTGAGCAGCTGAAGCTCCCCCTTTTCTGCCCCCCAGTGGCAGACCCAGCCCTACCTTAAAGCCATCTGTTCAACTAGGGCTACAGCAGCAGCTCCATGCTCAGGGGAGCTGCCTCCTCCTTCTAGGGGAACACCTAGACCAGTCCAACAGGTCTGAGGCCAGACCCCCTTAGCCCAGTACTTGCCCTGGTTTAGCACTGCCCCACCGTCCCTAACCTCAGCATCTTCTTGAACCTCAACCAGCTCCGTCCTTAGCGTCAGTCCCATGCATTAGCCTCCGAAACCCGCACCAATTCCAAACCCAGGCCTCGCTCCCAACCACAGCTAGTCCTAGCACCATCACCAGCTCCATGTCCAGCCTTAGCATCAGTCAGAGTCGCCAACTCCGGCTTGGATCCCACACAGAAAACCCAGTTCCAGCTACAAATCCTAGCCCCCAAAGTCCACCCTCCAGCCCCCGGCGGAACCTTAACCCCTAGACCTGTTCCACGCTATCTCCAACCCTAGCCTCAAACCCAGACACTAGCTCCCGCTTGGATCCCAGCCCTAAATCCCTGCACGCTCCTAGCCCATCCTCGGCTCCCAGCCCAGTCCCGGCTCTCGCGGCTCGGCAGCCTCGGAGCTGCATTGCGGAGCGCGGGGGAGAGGCTGGAAAAGATGAGAGCGAGCAGGCGCGCGCTGGCTGGGAAAAACCCGAGACCACCCAGCCGCAATGCGGTGCGGGACCCGCCCTGCAGGCTCCGGACTCCAGGGCCCAACCCCGCCTGCCTCAGAGCCCTGCACCTACAGTAGCCCCAGCCTCGGGCTCCAGAGACCGCGGTGAGCAGGATGCAGAAGAGCCGGAGACGCATTATGCAGGGCTGACGGTCCCCGGCGGCCGCCTCCCTGTGTCCGGCTCGGGCTAGGGCTCCAGTTCCGGTTCAGGCTCTCCGCTGTCCTCCTGGGGCAACTGACCGCTGTCTCTCCTCCTTACTCACCCCTCCCTCTCTCCTTTCTCCCTCAACCCCTTTCTCTTTCTCTCTCTGCTCTCTCTCTCTCTGTCGTTCCTGGTTCTCCGCTTGCCTCTCTCGCTCCTCTTCTTTCTCCCCTCTCTCTTCTCACCTCCCCCCTTCCCCAGCCTCTCTCTCCTGGCACGCGCCGTTTTCCCGGACCCCGCGCAAGCGCGCGCCTCAGCCCTGCTGCGAAAGGGCGGGGTAGAGCCTCCAGCCACCGGGAAATACCCAGAGTACCCGAGGCTGCCAGCTACTGGGGCTGCAGGGGTGACCAAAAAGAGGCAGGGGCTGGAGGGTTCTGAAAATCCAAGGAAAGGGAAGAGGCAGGGGTGCCAAGAGATGGGATGAAGGGTAAGTAAAGGAATTGAACATTTTCTGAAGGCAAATTGTGCTCCAGGCACAGTACTGGGCACACTCTTAATATGGTTGAATTCAGCCTTTTTATTTACCTCATTCCACTTTGCAGATGAAAAAGCTGAGGCTCAGAGAGGTGGAAAAACATACCGAAGACTACACAGCCAGCTAGTAAATGATGATATTCCAAAGACATCCTTTTTCCAGGCCGGGTAAAGAGAAATTCTTTTGAAATGGGGAATGAAAAAATGAGCCCACAGACCCTAATCTCCGCCCCTTCCTTCCTGTTCCACTAGTTGTTTAACTTCTACCCCCTGCGGCTATACCTCAGAAACCTGTGTAGCCAGAGATGGGGACTGAGCCCACAGAGCAGGTGGGAGTGGGGGCAATGGATTCTCCACTGGGCAACAAGTCTCTGCCACCCTCTGATGCTTTGCAGGATGTCTGGAGTTAGATGGGGCTGGGTGTGGGACAGCCACTAGGGCTGAAGGGAAGTGCAGAGAACCTGAGCCCCAAGCCTTGATACCCTTTGGCATGCATGTCCAGTACTAGAGGTCTGGTAGACAAGAGTGAAGAAGAGAAAGGAGACCAACAGAGACCCACTCCGGACCTAGCTTTGGGTCCTGGGTCCAGGTTCGAAGAAAAGCCTGAGTGTCCGTCTAGCAGAGGGAGATGCAAAGAGAACGCAAACTCAATAATTTATTAATAATATACACGCTTGGCCTGTGGGGAGCGGGGAGCGGAGGTACTTCACATCCATTATCTTCCATATTTCAAACAATCCTCACAGCAAACCTTGCCAAGGGGGCCGATCAGGATCTCTGAGAAAGAGCAAGTGGTTCGTTCAAGGTCACCCAGGAAGCTGGATGCAGAGGCAGGAGGGGTGCAAGGGAAGCCAAGGCCTGGCTGTTGAGGGTGTCCTAGGAAGAGTCTGGAGAAGAGTTTGGTCTTTTCCCTGGGCACTGTTACACCTGGTCACACTGGAGCTCGCAGCTTGTGGGAGGCATTGTGGAGGGGGAGGTGTGTGGAAAGATGTCTCATCAGGTCCCTCCTCTCATTTTGATCTCCCCAGGTCTCCTGGGGCCCCTTCTCCGGGGATGATGAGGAGGCATACTCAGCGGAGCCGCTCCCAGAGGTCTGCTACAAGACGGATGTTCAGGCCTTCAGTCGGGCATTCCAGCCCAGTGTTTCCCTGACAGTGGCGGCGCTGGGTCTGGCAGGCAATGGTCTGGTCCTGGCCACTCACCTGGCAGCCCGACGTACTGCCCGCTCGCCCACCTCTGCCCACCTGCTCCAGCTGGCCCTGGCCGATCTCCTGTTGGCATTCACCCTGCCCTTTGCCGCAGCGGGGGCCCTTCAGGGCTGGAGTCTAGGAAATGCCACCTGCCGCGCCATCTCGGGCCTCTACTCGGCCTCCTTCCACGCCGGCTTCCTCTTCCTGGCCTGTATCAGCGCCGACCGCTACGTGGCCATTGCTCGGGCACTCCCACCGGGGCCTCGGCCATCCATGCCTGGCCGGGCACACTTGGTCTCTGTCGTCGTGTGGCTGCTGTCACTGGTCCTAGCGTTGCCCGCGCTCCTCTTCAGCCAGGACGGGCAGCGGGAAGGCAAGCGGCACTGTCGCCTCGTCTTCCCTGAGAGCCTCACGCAGACGGTGAAAGGGGCGAGCGCCATGGGGCAGGTGGTGCTGGGCTTCGCGCTGCCGCTGGGCGTCATGGCAGCCTGCTACGCGCTCCTGGGCCGCACACTGCTGGCCGCCAGGGGGCCCGAGCGCCGGCGCGCGCTGCGCGTCGTGGTGGCGCTGGTGGCGGCCTTCGTGGTGCTGCAGATGCCCTACAGCCTCGCCCTGCTGCTGGATACCGCCGGACCTACGGCCGCGCCC